TACTTGCACGCGCGCCGCGCCGCGCCAGGCCGTAGCGTTACTGGCGCGCCCGCGTCAGTTGCGCTCCGCGCGCAAAACGGGAACACGAACAAACGCTATAGAAATCGTTCAGGCAAATGGATGCAAACGAAACAAAGTGGATTTCAAATTTCAAAGTATGTACAATATCTGACATTTTGAGTTTTATTGTTGAAATGTGTTAATCTTTAGTAATATCAATTTATATATCAAAATTGACACTAAATCTTAATTATTTAAATATTAAAAAATTATTTAAAATCATGAATTAATATTTACATGCAAGTAAAGTAATCCTAACATAAATTATGATATTAAAATATATCGATACTCTTATTATAACTATTGTAGAATTAAAAATTACTGTACAAAGTTATAATGTCCGTCACGAATTTTAATTTGATTTTAATACACTTCTCATACGTTATTGCAATATTTCTCTGTTAATGTATTTTTTTGTATGTTTTTTTTTCGATTTTACTTTTCATTGGACTATTTGAAATAAGAATACGAATTTAAATTAGATTTTAATTAATAATGAAAAGTTGAGTTTTTTCCGTCTAAATTTACCCGCCAGACCATTGTGCGACGGCGAGCGCGCGCGGCGCGCCACGCTGGGCGGTCCTATCGAGCCGCGTGCTTGCATTTAGCGGTGGGCCGGACGAATTTGGATATTTTTATAAATAAATATCTCATTAACTATTGTGAAAATTGAAAAATGGTAGAAGACGTTCCGTCTCAGTTTAATGCGCTTTACCTGTCCATGATATTTGTCAGGAGATTTGTGGGACACCCTGTGTAAATATATATACAGGGTGACCCATTTTAACTTAGACAGCCAAATAACTCGAAACATCGCGATTAAATAAAAAAATGTTTAAAACAAAAATTGTTGGATATGAAGGGGCTGATTGAACTATGACCTTGACAATGACCTTGACCTTCATTTTCAAGGTTATTTAAAGGTCTACTTTCAATTTTCAAATAGAAACCCATATTTTTGATCCCGGATTTTGAAAGAGCGCAAAATTTTACGTCCAGATGAATTTTCATGTTATGGGTCAAAGTTGACCATAGAGGTCATTTCAAAGACAAATTCCTAATCGAAGCAGAAAGCCAAAATATCTTGATTTTTCTCGGATAGTGTTCGTGAGAAAAATTGTTGGATGTCGAGGGGAGACCAAACCATGACCCTGACAATGTCCTTGAACCCATATTTTCATGACCATTTCAAGGTCAAGTGGGGATTTTTAATAAAATTTTATGC